CTCGGTGTCTCTCTCCCAGCAATGCGTGTCTCTCGGTGTCTCTCTCCCAGCAATGCGTGTCTCTCGGTGTCTCTCTCCCAGCAATGCGTGTCTCTTCGGTGTCTCTCTCCCAGCAATGTGTGTCTCTTCGGTGTCTCTTTCTTAGTAGCGTGTGTCTCTCGGTGTCTCTTTCTTAGCAACACGTCTTCCTCAGCCAGAGGTCAGAGAGAGAGTTCTGCCTCTAGGAGGCCTTCTTTTTGAGCCCTGCAGAGTGGCCAAAGCAACCAATCATAACATCAGAATTCTGAGCACCTGAGAGAGAACGGGAACCTCCCACAACACTGGTTTGTGTTGTGCCCAACAGAAATACCCCAGGTGGATCACTTTAGCAATCAGGAGCTCCTCAGTCACTCACAGCAAAGTCCACCACAGAGTTTACAAAGACTTATGGCTAGAAAAACGATACCAGGTAATTTACTACATCACAGATGGGTTGTGGCTGCATATGAGGTGTCTTGGCTAGGAATTGAACCCAGGTCTCTTGTATGGAAGGCAGGAGTTGTACCAGTGAATCGCTTCATAATTATGTCAGTCAGAGCTAAAATGATTTTGAATGTAATTTGACTACTGAGATTTGTGTGTAGAAAATACACTTTTCTGGATAACAGACAAGTGAAAAGGATACATTATTTGCATGCTTTTATGTGCCCAGCATTTATTCTCCAGAACAGTTCTGTAAGGTAGGTGTCATTTCATTTTACAGATGATAAATTGAAGGTTGAAGGGCACAGAACAGCTCATTGTCTGACTTAAAGGTTCAAGTTTCTCATAGAGTTTGTAGCTTAAGGATACCATGGGATGATAGTTCTTATTTCTCACCTAATGAAAATGTGTTATTTTTATCAGGCAAAAGGTGTTGTGAATACAGCTGTATCTGCAGCAGTCCAAGCTGTTCGAGGCAGAGGAAGAGGAACTTTAACAAGGGGAGCTTTCGTTGGGGCCACAGCTGCTCCTGGCTACATAGCTCCAGGTATAGTACAACCTCCAAGAGTTCTACTTCCTTTTCTAGGCCTAACTTTAAAGAACAACAAGTCTTTGATTTCCCGAGGTTACACAGGGTCTCTCGAAGCATAGCATGGGTGTAAAATGGGTGTGCACAAAAATTCAAAAGAAGAGACTCTACACAATGTTATAGGCTGCCAAGGCTTAGAGGGAAATGACAGATGAGCAATATTGCACTTGATTGAGGGGACATATTTTGACAATGAAGAAGCTGAAAGATGTTTCAGGGGTTGAGTTTAGAGGGTGAGTACTGTGTCTTCAGTGGGGACATAGAAGACAGGTTGGGTATAACAGGAGAGAAGAACTGTTGATAAAAGGCTAGATAAATGGGATAAAGACTGGCATTATTACCATTTTTTTAAAACATATTTGGGAAGCATCAGAGCCTGAAGAAGTAAAAAAAAAATGAAAAACGGTACTCCTTTACCTAGGCTTACTGTACACCCGATGCTTATGATTAAGTGACTTCACTTGATTGTTTTTAATTCTCACAGTTATTCTCCAAGGTAGAAATTATTTCCATTTTCCAGGTGAGGAAACTGAAGTTCAGGGAGATAAGGCAACTAGCCCAGGGTGAAACAATTAGTAAACAGCAAAGCAAAGATTTGAAAATAGGTGTTTGCAAGTCCAAAGTTATATTCTTTCCATTTCACCACATGGCTTGAGAGAGATGGGGGAAGATGTCTTCTCTCAGTCTTCTGTTCTAATGTCAGTTTAGGAGTAGATGTCAAGCTGTTGTTGTTGTTGTTGTTTGCCGTCGAGTCGGCCCCGACTCATAGCGACCCCTCCTTGGGTTTCCGAGGCAGTATCACTACGAAAGTAGGATTGCCCAACCTTCCTTCCGAGGAGTGGCTGGTGGGTTTGAACCGCCTGCCTTCTGGTTAGCAGTCAAGTGCCTTAGCCACTATGCTACCAGATGTCAAGCTACTGCTTGTTAAAGTCAAGTTCTTTGTAGTATTGAATATATGGAACTTTTTTTTGTGTGTGTGATTTGGGTGAAATTTTACAGAGTAAATTCATTTTCCATACAGCAGTTCACACACACGTTATCTCATGACATTGACTACAATTTACTTCAGTGCAACAGCTCCCCTCCCACTTCCTCCTGATAGTCACCTCTTCCCTGTGTCCATCCCTCCATGCACTCCTGCCCCCCGACCTGTCTCCCTGTGCATAAATAGCCCTTCTTTCTCCCATGATTGTTCTCTCCAAGGAGTGTATCTACCTTAGGTAATGTTCAACTCATATGCCTGTCTTTTGTTTGGCTGGAAGCCACAGGTGTGGGTTCAAATCTAGACCAGAGGGGCAACTAGGGGCCATAGTCTCAGTGGTTCCACCAGGCTCTATCACACCAGCAAAACTGCCCCCTCCTTTTTCCCCCAAATGATTTTGAGTTTTGTTCCACATTGTTCTCACTCTCTATCTAGGATCTCCTACATAGATACCCCTCCAACCTCCTCAAATGGTTGACAGTGGTAGCCAGGCACCATCTAGTTTTTCTGGTCTCATAGATGTATAGGCTGCAGATTGCATGGTGTACCAGTTGCTAGGACTAATTGCTTCCATGAATCTTTGGTTTTCTTCATTCTTCTTTGCTTTGGATGAGGAGAGACCCATCATTGCATCTAGATGGATGCTTGCAAGCTTTGAAGATCCCATTCGTTACTTGCCAAAGTAGGAGGTGGAACAGTGTTTTGTGTAGTATGTTATGCCAGTTGAGCTTGATGTCCCCTGCGACTATGGTCCCAGGCCCACCGGTTTAACTACTTGGTCCCTCTGGGTAGCTGGCTGTGACCAAGAAGTGAATACAACCTTGTCCCTTGTCAGTTCTACTATATACCTGGGAATTCTTACAGATCATACAAATACACTTATAGGACTACTGGCTGCCAAGCACATACATAGTCTTGGATATACTCCCCACTTCATAGACATACTTAATAGTTCAGCCTGTCCACCCATCTATTCACCCATACACCCGTTTTTCTTCACTGACAATGCAGTACTGTATGTGCAAAAGGGTTCATCTTTGCTATCTATACCTCCCATGTACCTCTCTATGTCTTCCTCTTCCTCAATGCCACCATGTTGATCACTCACATTTGGTACATTGCCCTTCTCTTCACCCAAATCAGTACTTATCTCTGCCTATCTACAATGTTCCCTCCCCTCCCCTCCCACCCCTGGTAACCAATAAAGAAAATTTCCTTTCATATATAAACCATTCCTTGACTTTTACAATAAGGGACTGATACAATATTTGTCCTTCTGTGATTGACTTATTTCACTCATCATAATATCCTCCAAGTTCATCCACGTTATACGGTATTTTGCAGATTCTAGGTTATTCTTTAGCGTTACATAGTATTCCATTGTGTGTATGTACCATAGTTCGGTTATCCAAACACCTAGGTTGTTTCCATCTTTTTGTTATTGTAAATAGTGCTGCGATGAACATACGTGTGCATATGTCTGTTCTTGTCATGGCTTTCACTTTTTTAGGATATATACCTAGTAATGGAATGATTGGGTCAGATGGTATTTCTAATTCCAACTTTTGAAGGAATCGCCATACTGCTTTCCGCAGTGGTTGTACCATTTGACAGTCCCACTAGCAGTGTGTGAGAGTCCCAATCTCTTCACATCCTCACCAGCATTTGTTATTTTCTGTCTTGTTTAACTTTACTGGTAGTGCTTGTGCAAGATGGTATCTCATTGTTGTTTTGATTTGCATCTCTCTAATGGCTAACGATAGTGCGTATTTCTTCATATGTTTGTGGACCACCTGAATATTGTCCTTGGTGAAGTGTCTGTTCATGTCTTCTGCCCATTTTTTAATTGGATTATTTGTCTTTTTGTTATCAAGGTGTTGGAGTTTTCTGTAAATTCTAGAGATAAGTCCCTTGTCAGATATGTTTTGCCAGATATTTTTTCCCAGTCTGTAGGTTCTCTTTTGACTCTTTTGGAGAAGTCTTTGGAAGCACATAAAAATTAAATTTTTAGAAGGTCCCATTCATCTAGTTTGTCTTCTGGTGGTTGTGTATTTTGGTTTATGCTTGATAGTCTATGTATGCTATATATTAGGGCCCCTAAATTTGCCTCTAGTTTTTCCTTGAGGAACTTTGTATTTTTAGGTTTCACAGTTAAGTCTTTGATCCATCTGGAATTCGTTTTTGTGTATGGTGTGAGGTACAGATCTTGTTTAACTTTTTTTGCAAATGGATCTCCAGTTTTGCCAACACCATTTATTAAACAAACATTCTCTTCCCCATTTAATGGATTTTGGCCCTTTGTCAAAGATCGGCTCACCAGAGGTCGATGGATTTATTTCTGGGTTCTGAGGTCTAAGTGTCTCTCATTGTACCAATACCAGGCAATTTTGACTGCTCTGGCTGTATAGTAGGTTTTGAGATCCGGCAGTGTGAGACCTCCTACTTTGTTATTGTTCTTCAGTAGTGCTTTGCTTATCTGAGGTCTTTTTCCTTTTCATATAAAGTTAGTGATTGGTTTTTCCATATCCTTAAATAATGTTGTTGGGATCTGGATTGGGATTGCGTTGAATGTATAGATTGCTTTGGGTAGAACTGACATTTTCACAGTGTTCAAACTTCCTATCCACAAGCATGGTATTTTCTTCCATTTATGTAGATCTCTTATGGTCTCTTGAAGTAGTTTTTTATAGTTTTCATTGTGCAGGTTTTTTGTGTCCTGGTAAGATTTATTCCCAAGTAGTGCCTAAGGCACTTGACTGCTACCAGAAGGCTGGCGGTTCAAACCCACCAGCCACTCCTCAGAAGGAAGATGGGGCAATCTACTTCCGTAGTGACACTGCTTCGGAAACCCAAGAAGGGGTTGCTGTGAGTCGGGTCTGACTCGATGGCACATAACAACAATGACAACAACATTGTAAATGGTATTGATTTCCTTATTTCTTTTTCAGCAATCTCTTTGCTGGTATAGAGGAATCCAACTGATTTTTGGATGTTGATCTTGTATCCTGCCACGATGTTAAATCTGTCAATTAGTTGCAGTAGATTTTTGGCTGAGTCTCTTGGGTTTTCTAGGTGTAGGATCATATCAGCAAATAGGGATAGTTTGACTTCTTCCTTACCAATATGGATGCCTTCAATTTCCCTTTCTTGCCTTTTGGCCCTGGCTAGGACTTCCAGTACAATGTTGAATAGAAGTGGTGATAGAGGGCATCCTTGTCTGGTTCCTATTCGCAAGAGGAATTGTTTCAGTTTCTCTCTGTTCAGAATAATGTTGGCTGTTGGTTTGCATAGATGCCCTTTATTATGTTGAGGAATGTCCCTTCTATTCCTATTTTGCTGAGAGTTTTGATCAGGAAT